CACCGCTAGGTGCGGGAGGACGTCATGGTCATCTACTCCCGCCCCCTGATCTTACCCATGAGTGGACTGAGGGTTCAGAGCTGCCGCTAAGCTCGTCTCTCAATCCCCACTCTGGTGTTGTTTTCACTTCATCCACAACTTTTCACTCATGAATGCCCCATGTTCCCAACTAGATTATAAGCTTTGTTTTCATCTTTTTATTTGCGATTTCATTAAAGATTTTCCTCTTCTTTGATCTCCCTCTCATCTAGCATAATGCCGGGCACAAACAGATGTTCACCAAATATGTGCTGGTTAGATGCTCTGCACATCATGGAGCTCACTACTGATGAATCTCCTGCTTCCTCCGCCCCATCACGGTTAGCCTGCCTCCCCACACCCCCTCTTCACCCCCCCGCCCTGTCCCTGCACCTGAGCACGCAGCAGAGCCTGGCTCCGAAGGGATGGGCCTGGGGAGGAGGTCTTTCCATGGAATTGTTATGCTAGGACTACAGTTAGTCTTGGAGTCTGGATATTAGGCCCAAACCCCAAACCAGGGGGCATTATTGAGAAGATGTGACTGCGCATTTCATGTTTGCCTTTCGTGGACCCTCACGTGTCTCTCATGAGAAATAAAAGGGCAGATTCTGAGGACCCAGCCCCAGAGGTGAGGGTCTGCCATGGGGGGACAGAGAGGAATTCATACTTGCCCAAAGGACCACTGTTCTCTGTGTGAGTGGGAGGAGGTTGCATTTCCCAATGTTAGAATATCTATTACCCCCTGTTCACTGAGATATGTTTCCCAACAGAGGCATTTAAAGTCTGTATTCACACCCCCCCGGGGACCCCAGTGAGGTGGTGGCAGCAGAGGGTGGGAAGTCTGCACCCCACACTCCCCAGTCAGTCACCAATCCACAGGTCAGAGGGGCGGGCTCAGCACCCTGGGCAGAAAGCTGGGGCAGGTGGGGTCCTTGCCTGTCTCCCCCACCATGTGTCAGAGCACATTGTTATTTCCATTGTCAAAACATGCCGCTAAGTAACAACGACAACACATTATTGGGGCTCTGCCTTGTGCCTGCATGGATCCATTTCTCATTATTAACGTACATTTCCAAACTGGAATTTATAAGTGCAAGAACTACAGAAAAATGGTAATCCTTGTTTGCAATGGAAAACAGTAGCAGATGTGGAAACTAACCCAACCTCTTCCAACTCTTCCTCATTGTCACACAGATTTCCTAACAAGTTGCACAGAAGGTTTCAAGGGCCATCTTTATTGAGAACCCTAAAAGGTTCCTCCTCACCTTTGGAAACACTGACAAACGCTAATAAACAAAAGAAATGTTAAAAGGTTTGAAAGTCTCAGAACAGGAACCTAAGGCAAGAAGGTCCTCCAATGAACTGCATTAACAGAGCAACAAGGTGTATGTTATCAACCGATAGGGCTGTTTCCATTTGGCAATTAGTCCCCCTGGACCTAATCTCTTCTTTCTTGATTTATCAACCACATCTGTGCGTCACCCCGACGCCTCGCTTTAAGTTGCCCCTCCAAAGCTATCATTCACTCAGCAGTCATTCCCTCACCCTGCTCCCCTCTTGCAGCCCTCTCCTCCCTTTTCACTGATGACTGCAGTGGCCCCTGACTGGTCTCTGCACCTGAGCGGCATTAGAGCTGGGTCCTTGTTCCCCAGGGGGACTGTTTTCTTACTCCAAAATGTCATTTTCATCATCACTTCCCCTAGAATCTATGGGATGGCCCATTTTTCCACTCCCTTACTAATTGTGGAGCTGGTGGTAATTTTTTAAACAAAGCAAAACAAAAACAAATAAATAAAACTTTGCTACCTTGATAGATGATGCTCTGTGACTATGCTTTTAATTTTCAATTCTTTGGTTGTTGGTAAAACTGAGCACTTTTCACATTTATTGCCCATTTGTATTTCTTCCTCTGTGCTCTTGACCATTAAGTTTCATCTTTGTCCAATAAAACTTTTCCCTAACCCAGTGGTTCCAAAGTGTGGTCAGCATCAGCATCCCCCCAAGAACGTGTTAAAATGCAGATTCTCCAGCCCAGACTGACTGAGCCAGGCACTGTGGGGGTGGGACTTAGCAATAGCTTTAACAAGCCCTCCAGACTCCAGACTACCCCACCCGAGACCGGGCAAGACCGAATTCATCTCGCACCCATGTGCACAACAGAGGGGCCCCGTGATGCGTCCTGCCTTACGAGACACCAGTCTTAAACAGCACAGAGGGTAAGACTGCAAACTCTGGAACTGGCCTGCCCGAGTTCGTAGTGTGGCTCTGTGGGTACTAGTTGTGTGGTCTCAGGAAAATGGTTTAAGTTCTCTGGGTCTCAATTTCCTCAATCAGTAAAATGGGGAAAATAATAAAGGGTCAGGACCGGTGCAGCACTTAATGCTTAATGCAGTGCTTAATGATGTTAGGTATGATTGGTGCCACTCTGGCCGTGTGCATTATCGCAAGGTCATGGGCCTGAGGGCTGTAAGAAACTTGGTCATCGGGAGGCAAGAGGTCTAAGTAAGAATAAGCATAATGCACCTCTCTTGTTCCTGACCCCTAAAAAAATATCCCTCTCCCTCTGTCTTCCATCGACCCAACCCAGCCATTCCAAACTTCAGACCACGCTCCCACCAGGGGTGAGAGAAGAAACACAAGATACAGGACATACTGAGAAAAGCTCTTGAACTCATTTTAGCTACAGCAAGTATCGCTATTGGTTAACAATGGGTGTGTAATACTTTAGCATTCTCTAACATCCCGTTTCTTCTGGCAGTCTTCCCATTGGTTAATGTGAGTAATATTTTTTTTAGAGGGGAGGTCCCAACATTAAGTGTTTGAAATGCCTCAGAAGGAAAGGTTAGAAAGGTAACATATCCAAACTAGACTATGGCTCTTCATAGTGAGAAGTTGTGGACAGACTTCCCCGAGGTCGTTGGTTTACGGCTATAGGATCAGTGTGCCCTGGGGAGCACTTTGGGGACTGTTATCCTACAGGAAACGGGAAAGGGTTTCCAGGATTTGGCTGACCTGTTGGTGATTGGATTCAAAGAAAACCCAATATTTTAGTAAGATATTATTTATAGAAAGAAAAGAATAAAAATATTTTTCTCTTTAAAGAAGTAGCAAATGGGGTATTTTCTTCTGTGTCTCCAAAGACAGTGTATTTTTAAATGCTTCAGAAACATGAACTGAATGCTCTCTGCCTCACTCCACCCTCCACAAAACTCTACCGTGATCTTATTTAGTATTTTTGCAAAGGAGGTGCTTCTGAAATTTATCCAACACTGGACAATTATTGGGGAGCAAAGAAGCTTCGATCCCTTAATAGTATTCTCTTCTCCATGAATATTTCCCAATATTAAACTTGTTACCTGAACCTTTTCTTTTTTTCTTGCTCAAGAAAACTGAAACTGTAATAATCCTCACTTCTCTCTTTCTCTCTCCCTCTCCTCTTCCCTTTCCTTCTCCATTCCTCCCACCCCCTATTTCTTCCCTTGTACTTCAGGAACCTTCTGCATCATATCACTGTGCACCTGTGTGGCCGGGATCAACTTTGAGCTGTCACGCTACCCTCGCTACCTGTATGGACTCCCCGATGACATCAGCCATGGCTATGGATGGTCCATGTTCTGTGCGTGGGGGGGCCTGGGCCTCACACTCATCTCGGGGTTCTTCTGTACCTTGGCCCCTTCTGTCCAACCTGTCCCGAGGACCAACTGCCCTAAATCCAGACCCGAGAATGGGACAGTGTGCTAAAAAACAAACCCATACACATATATATATATAAATATATATATAATATACATATATAAAACAAAGCTAAATCCTGATGAGGCAAGTGCCAAGGCAGAGTGGAGGTGGCTCAGGCACCGCATCTCGTCGGACGTTGTGTATGTTGCCTCATCGCCGAGATGGGGAAGGCGTTCCCACCACGTGGCTCTTCCATCAATTTTTAACTTTTGGTTCCATGGTTCCCTGGAGACAGAGTGAACATCACCACTCGAGACAGCATCCCAATCCCCATCTCTCATGAGGATGGGGTGGTGGGCTGGGAAGGGACAGTGCCAGGGGGCTGGAGAGACACCGATGTAGGGACGGAAGTGCCACCCACCAGGCCAGTCACCCCCACACTGATCATATCACAGAGAAGCAACACCCTTATTCACAGAATGTCACCAAACCTTCAAGGCTGTGGCAGAACCACTCCTACTGCTCTTCCTGTCCTGGTTCCCTCTGGCCCACCAGTGACACATCAGAAGTGGAGGAGAGAACAAAGCAAGAAGGGAGTTTTCTCTTTGCTGCCAAACTTTTGGACAAAGTTCTAGAGGTGGGAAGGGGGAGAGAACAACCTGCTGAGAGGCAAGATCTGCATCAATGAAAGGACACTTCAGCGGATGCTCAGAAAACCCAGTCTTACCTTCCAGCTGCCTTACACCGCGTTCAATAAGAGGCCGCCCTGCCCCAACCCCACCTGCACTCCCTGGGCAGCCGAAGCCTTGGAGTGATGCTGTGATGTGTGCGTGTGTGTGTGTGTGTGTGTGTGTGAGAGAGAGAGAGAGAGAGAGAGAGAGAGAGAGAGAGAGAGAGAAACTACTTTGGGTGGTTCCCTTTCTTCCTTTTCACCTTTTAAAATGGAAATACTGCATTCTGACTGTTGTCTCTCTGTCCATTGGGATGGTTTCAGGGCCCAGCATGGAGGCCCAGAGGCCTGGAAGACAATGAGGGGCAGGCCCAAGTGGGTGCCAGTTCTGCAGCTTCTGGTCCCTAGAGTGTGTGTGCGGTGGATGTTTGCTGATTGCGGGTTTTATCGTGTGTGTTGCATTTTTCTATTATTTTTAGTGCAGCTGAAATTCCCAGAGGGCAGAACCGAGAACACCACCACTGGGCCGAGGACCCTGTGTGTCTTCACAGCCCGGTTCTTGGACACCCCAGGCTCTAGTCCCCTCATTTCAGAAGTTCACCACTCAGCTGGGCACAAGAGCTATGAGCAAAGAGGGGGACACGGTTCAAGAGGGAGGAGGAATGTGCCCTCCACTGCTGTTGCACAAGTCTGTCCACCAAACAAGATCGTTTGCTCCCCAGCCAGGGAGCTGTCCTTCGTCACTGGACATCTACCACTTCCCTCGCGGCGACTTCTGTACAGATGAAAGCAAATGGGTCACGTGGCAGGGAGAGCACCTCCATGTCCCATGGGCTCCAGTTTGTATGATATTGTGTAAATTAATGGAGAACTCTTGACTCTTCCCAACCTTTTCCTTTCCCTCTTGATAGTCAAGGCCATGAATCCCCATATAGCTGTCATGGTGGCCAGCACCCAAGCAGAGGTGGCCTGAATCCAGCCGGTGTCTCAGGCTCACTTGAGCCCATTGGCACACTGCAGATGATGGGCTACAAAGTCAGCTGTAGGGGCAGGCGTCTGCCAGATGGAGTGGGTAGGAGCAGCTGGCAGCCTCCTCAGTGACCCTACTGGGGCGGAGCAGCTCTGGGGAGTCCAGGAGAGTGTCCCCGAGCTCTGCAGCCGTGGGTCAGCTATGCAGCTGAGAATTCAGTTGCTTCAGAAATAAATATGCTTTGGGAACTTTGCCAACCACTCAGCAGCCTTCCTTCCCACCCAGGCCCTCTGTTTCATCTATCTTCCTCCACCTTTTCTCACCTACTAATCACTTAGCATCTGCCTCTCCCATCCGCCAGGCTGCTAGTCTTGCCTGTCCCCTCATCTGCTCTTTCTGACTGTGTGTGTGTGTGTGTGTAACTCACATCCGGATAGGACATGTGGTATGCATGGATGGGCCTGAACGTGGGTCTCTGGATGTGTGTATCCCTCTGGTGCATTTGTGTGTGTTTGTGCCAATATGTACCTGACACAGGTGTGGGTGTGCTCGTCAAACTTCCTTGCCAGCAACACTGATCAGCTTCTGCAAAAGGTCCTGGGTGAGTGCCCTGTGCATGGGCGTGTTGGGCAATGAGGGGTGAGGGGTGTAGCGGGAAATGCTGCTAATTTCCAACTCAGCTTCTAAGGATTATTTCTAAAACAGAGGATTTGTTCTATAAGAAGGGAAATAATTTTCAGGAAAATTCAACTTTCAATTGTACAGAAAATTGTTTAAAGTTTTTCTTTGAAAAGTTATATTTCCCTCTTAAGGGGAAGGGCATACTTGGGCTTGAGGAAAAGTGAGGAGAAGTATCTCAGATTGAGAGGCCATTGTCTTCCTTCCAAGTGTCTTGAATGGGCTCCACCGAGCAGAGAATGAATGACAGGTATCCATGAGTGTCCATTTGGGGCAGGTGGCTTTTGTGTGACCCGACCCAAGTTCCAGATGTTTTCTAGTTGCAGGAAATCGGGGAAAGAACCCAGAAGGGGCAATTTTCTATCATTTAAACTTTTCTTTAGTAACCATGTTTGAGGATGCTGCCTCACAGACCCATCACTATGTCTACTCTCCTTTTTTATGCCATGCTTGCCGAAACTAGATCACCCACTCTCTCAAGTACCAATCTCTTTTTCTAAATATATTTTATTGATTTTTTACAGAGAGGAAGGGCGATGGATAGAGAGTTAGAAACATCGATGAGAGAGAAACATCTATCAGCTGCCTCCTGCACACCCCCCACTAGGGATGTACCCACAACCAAGGTACATGCCCTTGACCGGAATTGAACCTGGGACCCTTAAGTCCACAGGCCGACGCTCTATCCACTGAGCCAAACCAGTTAGGGCTCAAGTACTAATCTTTATGAGAGACCATTAACACAGCTTACTACCTCCTTCTGAAACCTTCCTGAAATGTTAGGACTCCTGGGAAAGAAGAACCATCTGGGCTCAAGTTACCATCAGCAGCGTAGGAGCTTTGAGCTGCTGTTTGGGTAATGGGGCCAGATAGGTACATACACACACTCTGAGGTCTGATCCTGCCTGGGGCCCAGAAGGTGCCCAGCCATGTGGCCAGGATCAAAGCCTTGCACAGACAGCAAATCCTGGCCAATGGGAGAACTTCCCAGTTGACCAGCATGGAAGCTTGAGTCCAGGTTAAAACTTGCTGCTCCAAGCAGTTGCTGAAGCTTCGTGGTGTGAGGTGGCTGAGGAAGAAGTGAAGGAAGAAAGGGAGGGGAAAGAAGGGGGAACCTTGACCGTAAGACTCTTTAAGTCAGATTCTGCTAACTCCATATCAATGTAGAGCCCAATCTTCTGAGGGATTTAGGGTCCACATCTTCACTAAAGCCCCAGCCCCCGGTCCAGGTCAAGTTCATATCCCTTACACGTGTGCATGCAAGGCCTATGACCTTGTGTGTGTGTTTGAGCTCCATGCACATCAACCTGGAGCATGGGGGCCACTTCAGCTTTTATTTTCTTCCTTACCCTCTGAGTTTGAGGGGCCAAGAAAGTGGGGTGTCTGCCTGGAAAGAGGTCTTATTTCTTTCTCTCCCCATTTTGGCAGTTATGGTTCCTTTTATTTCCTGTTCCTCTCTCCACCCACTGCTATTTTCCTTCTGCATTAACGTTGGCCAATTAAAATAGTTAAGGAATTTGTCTCTAGAGGGGCTCATACTCTCCAAGCAGCCCCTTCCTTGTATGTTGTGGCTCTAGGTTTTATAAGGAGGTCTGTGGCTCCTGGGCATCAAAATACAAAACATTCTAACGTGCCTGTTCCAGCTTTACCCCTAGCCTTTCAACAGCTCTACCCTTTCAGCTTCAGGGATCATGAAGTCACCAAGACTCAACAACTCCACCAAATCAAGACCACACATCCATAGGCAGCACCCTGGGCCCTTGGGGCCACTTTGGTATATTCTCTTGCTGAGGATAAGGGAAGAAGATAGTCCAAGGCTCTACATCTTAATATTTACCCACAGTCATAGGAGGCCTAGAATGAAGTCATCACATTTTTTTGTGCTGAGTTAGTGGGAGGATATGCTGCTTTGGTCTCCGAAGCTGCCCACCCAAGTCAGATGCAGAATAATGAAATTGAGTCCATCACCCAGAGACATCTAGAATTGACTCTGTCTCCACCTGGCCTATTCTGAGAGCACCAATCAACTGTTTTCAAGTATCTTGGGAGAAGGAGTGGGAAGAAATACACTCTGGTCATCTTTGGTGTGGTTTAGGGGAGATTCTTGGTTGATTCTTATTGCTAAGGTGAAGCCAACTTTCTGAAAGTTGGGACCAGCCACCCCGGAGTACATATCTACCCCTTTCCAGGGAAATATGATGAATCATCGTGAGAAGTGATTTCATCACAGATAAAACTGTTTGGAGCATACCAGCCAGGTTGACTTCTGTGCTGTCTTCCAGCTGGTATATAATTGAGTAAGGGGGCCGGTATCTAAACAAGTCTACCTAAGCTGATAGACACAAACGGTTCTGGTGTCTCTCAAGGCAGTCAACTTGGTGGGCGGTGTTTGCCCTCTCTCTGTTGATGCTGCCATGGTGCAAAATGTTTCTTAAACATTATTGTTAGTTCTTAGACTACATTATTATTGGCTATCGAGTCCCCCCCACCCACCCCCCAAATAATATTGCTCACTGTAGAAAATTATAAAAATGGAAAGATTGTTCATAATTCCATTGCTCACAAGGGTCATAGCCCCAACATGTCCCAGTCAGTGGTTGCCTCTGGTTTGGAAGTTGGGGCTAGGAGGGAAGTCCATGGTCGCAGAACCACGCTGGCCTGTGTGGATTTGACCTTGTCTGTGGTCATGGCAGCAAGAGCACAAGACTCTGAGCCACCAAAGATAGCAAATAGGCCTTTGACAAAGCTCAATAGCAGAGCTTAGTGGCAGGCTTGGAACAGAACTAAAGCTCCTACTTTGGGATTTTTTTTTTCTTTCTCTCTCTTTTTGAGTGCCATCTCAATCTAATTCTAGGTGTAAGAGCACTGAAGCTAGAGTAACTCAGTAATTAGGCTACACTTGCATAACTCAGTTACTGTAAACTTCATTTCAGCTCTGCACTAAAATGATTTGTGACTCTGGGCACTGTGTCTTCTCCATACTTGAATTTCCTCGTCCACAAAATGAGGACAGTGATAACACTTTACCTCATGGTACATTAAGGGTGACAAAGACACTGCAAAGTGATTTGCAAACATGAGGTGTCACATAAATTATGCACCGTTCGAATTGCCCTGCGGCAGCAGGGTCCCCGCTTGCTGCTGAAAGGATAATGTAGAGCGAGAAGTCATCTTGGCTGCTTGTCCACATAAGCACATGGGAATTTACTCCATCATTCAGGTCCTTCAGAGACATTGGCTCCCTAATCAACCCATTCCTAGGCGTTCTTCCTTTTGCCCAAAGCCAGTTTTGCAAAAGACATCCTTAATCCCTCTTGCTTATGCCCAGAGGTGACAGAATGAGTAACCCATATGGAGCAAACAGCATATATGAGCTAAAACAGCGAACTGTTAACCAAGGCACAGGTCACTGCCTTGTTTTCTTCTTTACTATCCTCCTAACGTTACTTCTAGCTGTACATGCCTTTGTGGTGGGAGAAGACCAGATTCTAAAACATTTTAACGATCTGTTCAGTTTAAGATTGGGAACAA